CAAAAACTTTTAATGATCTTAAAGTTAAATAACCAAATCTTTACCTTTAATATCCTTAAATAACCTTATAAATAAAATATTTAAAAAAAACTTCAGGAAAAATTTGATCCTTTTTGAAGATTTATACGAAGGAGACGTGTTATGTTTTAATGTGGATATCATTAAAAATATTGTAGACTATATTTATTCATTAACTTTCCTATAGACATGATATAAAAAATTACACACTTACACAACAATAAATTCTATTCTTTAGTATTAGTAACCTAATTTTAGATGAAAATATTAAAGCTGACCGGTTGGTTTATCATACAGCGTGTTCTAGTATAGCATGCGGCAAAATTTATTTTACAAGACGAGTGCGAGTACACTAAATTCATCTGAAACATTTAAAATTAGTAATGCAGTAAAATATTTATACATTTTTATTGGATAATATTTTAAAATATGTCTTTAGAAGTTTATTTTTGTTATGAGAGGAATTAAAAATCGAATAATATTTATGGAAAATGAAATATGTTGTATACAATCTTAGTAAAAAAATTAGAATTATTTATAATATAAGAGGTGTTTTAATTTAGCAACACGTATTAAACATATGCATACACTTATCAATTCAAAAATACTATCATTTGCAATCGGTTTAAATGAATAAATATGAAGTATTTTCACATTAAAATATATAATCATTTTTTCCTTATCCGTAATCTGAGAAAACTGCGTGATTACTTACTATCTACGGCACGCGATAAAAGTATAAGAATTATATATAGCAGAGGTGGACAACTTAAGTGTTGCCTCAGGCCGTATTAGATTAAATTGCTTTTAAACGAGCTGCAATATTTAAAGCTAAAACGTAGACATATGTGTATTAAACTAATATTTGTATGCAAATCTAACAATGTAAAACCTTATTAAACTCGTATACTATATGGATTTATATCAAAATACTGTAATGAAGATATTTTTACAAAAATCCACTATCGCACAAATATGTAGTATAACATTATACTCACGAAGTATGTATAACTTTATTCTTATTGCAATAAAGGAAATTTTTTTTGAAAGTGTACAGTACAAAATGATTAAATAAAATAATGTAATTATATAGAATACTAATTCTAAAAATTTAAACGAATAAACAAATTTATAAATATAGTAAACTGTAAGAACAAAAAATCAGCAACAAGTTAATTAACTTTCCCGGCAACATTTAAAAATGCGTGTGTGGCGTCATCTGTTATGGTATTTTATTTAAATTTTATATTTTCGATTATTATAAAGTGGCAAAAAGCTTAATTGTTGAGCTTAACTGTATAAAATGGCACGAGTTTTATAAAAAGTTCTAAATGCTAATAAGAGTAATAACGAGTAAAATCGTCATTAAGTCCGACCCTACTCAAGATACGATACACGACTTCCTTTAACTTCTCCCCACGTCGACCATTAACCACCAAAATTTAACAGCATCAATTCCCCTTTTAAACAAACATCCCTGCAAAATTTCTGAAATTTTCGACAAAATGCCCAGAAGTTATTAAGCTTCAAATAGGGTAAACAAAATCGTGCTTCCACACACAAAGTAACATCCATACACACAGAAATTACTCCCGAATTTTTTCCATTTCTGGACGTTTCAAAGTGTCCTAAGGTCAAAAATGTAAAAATCTTGGGTGGAGGTAATTTTTGACCGATTGCCATATATTCGATTGCTCTATTAGTCTATATATATCAATATAACAGCCGGGATAATAATAATAAAATAAGAAAGTCAAACTGTAAAACATCATTAATATAACGTTATTAGGAAAATAAATAACAAGCAAAGATACATCCAATTTATTTTAATATTTCGATATTTTAATTATGATTTTAAAGAAATTTAGTCGAGATATTGAAAGAAATAAAATAAATATTTTTGCGAAAAATGATGATAATGCGAATGTAAGTAAAAAATGGAAAGAAAATCATATGTTTATTTGCATTAATTGATTATATCAATATAATTTTAAACTTCTGATCTGATAATTTTGTTCTAAAATCTAGAATCCTGTAAATGTAAACTTTATTTTGAATTTTTTATATTATTAATTATGCAAACAAAATAGTTGTTTTAGTATAAAATACGCCCTTAAATCTACTTAAAATATCTTGTTAAGAAAGTGACATCTGTTTAATTAATATAAAATATGTATATATATGTTCAAGAATTATAATTTAACTAGGACAATGAGCTCATAAATATGATAATGAGAAAATATAATTACATCTTTTAAACAATACTTACGAGATATTCTTATAAATTAATTAAGTTATATGACTTGTAGAAACGTAATTATATTTAGTTATGCTAGAAGATCGACTTTTTATCTGAATCAGAGAAAAACGAATACAAGCATTTTGTTGAACTGCAATTCGAAATTGTAGACCTATAAATTTCCAATGCCTGAACGGTGCTAGATAAATAAAACTCAAGACCAGATGTGGAAATTGTAGAGGAGGAAGGTCCCGATTAACTGTATACAAACTTCTGAGACAAACCTGAAGTCACGTTATTTTAATTCAAAAATTAACAGGAAAAGTATTATGGGCAACACACTACTAATTTGAGATAGAGAGCATATATTTTAAATTAAATAAATTAAAAATTGCAGCCCGGCATTGTGACGATGTCACAATAATTGCTGGTTTTATGTCCTTAATAATTTATTATGGTTAGGTTTCGTTTGATGGGATACGGCAACTCAAAATAAGCGATCTGTCAAGGAAGAGGGGAATGCTTTCCGGGGGACTTTCTTTGGGGAACTGGCCTCTAGATATTAGACGTGAAGAAAATCTAGAAAACTCCACTTGGCCAGCTTGTTAGTGAGGCGCGAACCCGCGACCTAATTTATTATGAATGCTACTCTTTGTGTCGTTTTGGTCGATCAGTGATCTGAGTTCATTCTCATCTTTGCATTTATCCGAACGAGTTAGTGAATGCCCTATCGTTGATTTTTACAGCCAAGAGGACGTTAAGAGATCCTTTTAACATACCAATTACATATTTTGAATGGGAAGGAAAAAAAAAAATAAGAAAGAGACCTGCCATATTTATGGATATCGTGTCTATGCCAGTTTTATCTCTAGCATAGACAATGTCTCTGTAATAAATTTATGAGATTCGATCCAGATTCGAATACAGAGAGATAGATAAAGATTGTTTTCTGAGTTAGCCATCTGGTCTACTTCATTGTAATAACTTCGTCGTTATACCGCGGCTTCCCGGGTCTTATTAACTTGTTGTTTTCGTATAAGATTTTCAATACTTATCATGTTAGAATTAATATGTTTCTTCGAGATTACTATTTTACCATTTTCACATTGGTTCTTAAGATTTTCTGTTAGCCAATCAGAAGACAAAGCAATAAAACGTTAGTTTATCGGAGAGGTTCTTATAAAATAAATAAATAAGGCTGGGTTGTGCCAACCTCATTCTTAATATCAGTTCGGGAGAACAGATCAGTCAGTAAATTACGATCGGAAGAAAGCGTTACAAACTGCAAATAATTCAAGGTTTGTGAAATCAAGTTCAAATGATCGTAGAATAAAAATTCTACGGGAAAAAGAAGTGTTGGTATCGTGATTGGTACGTTATGTCAGCTGACTTTTCCATGGTTCTAAGTGAAGATAACGTTAAAGTGAAAGTGGAGACAACAAATGAAAGACGTGACGTGTAGGCCTAATTAAATTATTAATTCCTAATTGAAAATTCTATAAAGTTTACTCGTATGCCTAAATCAATGTTAAAGAATCATTCCTATAAGTTATTTATTAATAGGTACGCTGAAATAAAGGTCATTTTGCATGTTTTTCTTAAAAATATCGATGAAATGTCATTTAAATGCATTATATAATTTTATATATGTAGGTTAATATATTGCCTTTATGTGCATTTTTATGCATGAAATATAGCTAAAAAGTTAAAAAAAAAATGGTTTTGTTTTGAGGTCCAGGAACGGATTATTCCATTTTATATTGTTTTTTATGGGAAATTTTGTTTCGGTTTTAGAACAAACCGGTTTTCGAATAACTTTTAAGAACGAATTAAGTTCGAAACCCGATGTTTGACTGTCTGTCGTAACATTTTCAATTACGACATATTTCGTGAATACGAAAAAATTGTCACTAGCGTAGCTTATGATATTCATCGTATAAATCCCATAGCCAGGAATAAATCAGTGGGAACTAGAGAAGAAAACTGAAAAAATGCGACTGTTGTTTTTCTTTTTTAGCTAGCCCTAGACTTATTAGCTACAATTTAAGTGTAAAAATAAGTAATAATAGTATAAGTTTGCGTGATGAAAGTGAAAGCATATAAGTTTGTTATATGTATTTTATAACAGTACTATTGACCAAGCTGAGGGGACTTACCTACAGATTTGCATCATATATTACGATCTAATCTGATACGACACTTTCGTTAATCCGAACCTCGAAATGCAACCATGAATTCGTATATAGATTCATTAAAACAAATATTTGTGTATCAGAAATCTTCTTATAAATATTTTTTTTTATATAAAAATATCAAAGCAATTAATATTAGTAATAACGAAGATTTTAATTTAATCTTTTATAAAGTAAAATACACTTTTTGAAGGATGAATTTATGCAAGTTTAAATATAACAACATAAAGTTAAATGTTAAAGATTTATTAGATATTCTCAGATATGTGAAAATATTTATCATATAAATTTTTCTGAAGATTTCTATCTTTTGAAAAATAAAGTTACATGTTTCATTAATATGAATTTTCCAGAGAAAGACAATTTACAAAATTTTTTCATGAGAAACAATTTAAAAATAAATACCGGTAATTTTCGGTTAAACGGATTTTTAATTAATGAAAAAGTGTAATTTTTGAAATTTAATTTCAAAATTTATTATAAATATCAATTTGTTTAAATTTTTTATTATAAATATTTATAAATTTTTGAAATTACGAACATCAAATATATTATAGAATTGGATAAATTTTATTAAAAGCACAGTAGATATCAATGCGCTCTTTCGTTCCTGTAATAACTATTTTACCATATTGAAAAATTAAAAGTAAAACATTTGGATTTTCCATATTATATACAAGTCCCGGAAAAAGTTCAGGTTCGTATTTACTAAATTTAGCATAAGCTATGGCCAACAATTCCAGATTAATTTGGAATCTGACCTCACAGCTTCCAACTATATTTTGAATTTTAAATTCAAAATATCGAATACGATAACCTAATTTTTGAATGATTTTTACAAATTTCCTGACAGCGATGCTTGATTCTATTTCATTTTTTGCTCCTGTACATATAATTTTTCCCGTTCTAAAGATAATGGCCGTAGTGTATGGATTTTTTATTTTCATGATAACGGATCCATTTCGCCGTGGATTATATGTTGCATTTTCTGAACGACGAGCGATATTCTTCAAGTCGAGCCAACAACCGAGAGTTACAGAGGATACAATATTTACAATTTGTGGAATTGGAATCATTAATGGAAATAAAGAATTAATTGATTCTGATATGGGTGAATCCAATAATACATTCGAAGTAGAAGTCGAAGTCGAAGTCATAGCACGCGTTCTAACACTGTGAGGTGCTGGAAATTGAGTTAAACATTGAGGAGGAGTACATTCAGAGTGATTAAAAGATGATAAATTCAGTTTCTTTGCCGAATTATTCAGATGCTGCTGATCACAACCTTCTTCTGAAGATGTACTTTGTTGATATTGATGATTAAAAGTGGAAAAGGAACCAATCAAGTCAGCTTCTGGCCTTTCCAGAAATGAAGAATCACACATATCCATTTCCTAAATAAAATATATATTTAGCTTATAAATTTCCATTGAAATAACTACGTAAATCGTAAGCCACGCATTTTCTTACCAACCGTTCTATCGTTTCAAAACTTTTAATTAACGCTCCCTAGTGGAAATTTATAAATTTTCATTTTAATTAAATAAATTAATAAAGAAAAGTGAATCCACAAAGTATATGGATGTTTAGGATTATATTTTAATGCTTCGAACAAATTTCTTGGATGGATACCTGTCAAAAAGTCCTGATTTTATACTTTACAGAATATAAAAAGTTTACAATTTCTAGAGGTCGCTACCACAACTCAACCAGAGTCAAGGTCAGTCGGTAGATCATCTGGTCTTTCGACAAATAGTTCAAACTTAGCTAGAGCCAGTATTTGCCGCTAGTTGGCGCCTCGGTTGGCAGAAGAGCTTTTTCTTGCTTTGGATATGTTACTGTGAATGACCGATATCTGGCGAATGTCAACATTCTCCGGTGAATGTCAGCATTTACACAGTCGTTTCGTGTATGTACGAAATATTCGCTAAATATCATTATTTCTCACTTACACCGGCAAATGTCGACACTCAGCGTGCACTGGTGGTGACTGTTGAATAAAAATATTTTTTTACTTTAAGACAAAAATACAACTTTTTAATATGTCAAAATAGGAGAAAGCTTAAGTAACAGCAATATAAATAAACTGTTTAACCTAAAACAAACAGTACATTATAAATCATTAAAGAAAATAATACATTAACCACAATCTTACCCAGAGAAAAATACACAAATACGTAACCAACACCTTATTATTCGCTGAAAGATTTTTTATTAAAACAAACGTTTTCGATCCACTCAATAGATCATCATCAGGCTAAATGGAAATTTCATAAATGGAACAACAAGTTCAAAATTCAAATATACCAAAAACTGATAACATATCAATTATTAAGAATAAACAATAAATTGTAAATGATACATATTAGTAAAAAATAAATAACATATTACAAATACTAAATATTAATACTGTCTATCATAACTAAATAGAGTTTCCTTTAAATCATACTAGAGTTCATGCGCTACTTGTGTTAAAAACTTACAAGTTTATTTTTATTTTTATTTTTAGTTTTCTCGTGAAGGAAAAATATTTGTGACGACTGTAAACTATTTATTTTATATATTTAGAATACATTGTTCTAGTGTAATACTCACTCCAGAGTGGTGCACTCACAAAAAAAAATATATACAGAATATATATCTAAACAAATTATTTCAAATGTTTCGAAAAAGTTACGTAAACAAAATGTTGCTATTTCCTTTGGTGACTTTGCAAATGCAATAGTAGAATATACTGAAAAATTAATTGATTCATTAATCAAGCGCGTATACAGACAACACAATAAAACTATATAGCTTCCAATTGTTATAATGACCGGAATGGTCATTATAACAGAAGCTGCAGGATAGCCCTCTCGTAATTACGGGAAGTATTTAACTATATTCGAGTCAAGATCTCTCATGACAGTAGGCTAAGCAAATTATATTTTATTGTGCGCCATTAGGCAACTAGCAAACAATTGTGTTTCACTATTACAATGTATAGAACACGCAGGTCTAAAGGATGCATGTTTAATTTTCAACTGCATTAATTAAGAACAAAAAGTTGTAGGTGGAATTTATTTTCTGTATTAGTTTTTTCCATTCTGGATCCGATCCTGTGTTTCTAGAGATATCGATAACTGGTCCACATCTGCCGCTTGACCATACAGCCGGTAATTACATGCTGTCAGGAAGAATTTTAAATGTTTCCTAGATTTCCTACACAATGTATTATTGCGTAATATTAATAGAGTAATTATAGAGAATGGCATTAGAATGATATTAATTACATCACGTAATAATGATACATATAGACTACTAATAGCAAATAAAAAGTACTGAAAGTTTGGATTCGGGGATTGAATGTTATTGGCATATCATTTGAGGTTAGCTGATATACCAATAACTTGAGTCGTACGAAACTTGGAGGCCTAATTAACCTAATTATTAGAATTCGATAATACTGAAGTTTCGCTATCCAATAGCAACAGAAGACTCTTGCTACATATTCGAACATCAAAACGCAAGTGTCCAAGAGATTAACATCAAATACTGTATTTTCACGCGTGATATGACATTGAATATGCCTTTGATAACCTTTGATACCGTTATCCTTTGATGCCGTTATCCTTTGATACCGAAACTTTGTTATTATCGAAGGTAGTTAATACCAGATACTCTGGTGAGACTCGATGGTCTTCTCAACCTGAGTCAGAAGAATTCTACGTTGTCTCACCTTTGTGTAAATTTGTCGCTGATGCGTTGGACCAGTGGCGTAGCTAACATGGGTGGCACCCGGTGCGGACATCACGATATCCGCACCGGGTGCCACCCATGAAAACTGTTAAAATTAATAAAAATCCGATAAACGTAAAGTATGATTTTATTTAATTAATACAAATAAGAGTCATTAATTATCAAGTTACAATATTATGATAATAATAGTACAGTTTTATTAAACATTCTTTCATATTGATGTATGAAAGTGAAAGTTGGGTATGGCAAAAGAAGAATGAGAGAATTAATATATTCTCATATACATATTATGTACAAACACTTAAAAGAAGCGGCCGGATGGCCGAGCGGTCAAGGTGACAGCCTACCGCCTTGGGAGACCCGGGCTCGAATCCGAACGAGTCGCAAAATCCCCAGGAATTTTTCGGGGGTGGTACGTTCGGATATGTCGGGCCCCCGACCCTCATCACCTGGCATTGATGGGCCTGGCCGAATCCATAAGAAGCTTGCAAAAAGAGGCCCCCAGTGCCCACAAGGCGGAAAGAGTTAAAAAAAAAAAACACTTAAAAGATCTTTCTAGCTTTAACAGCTGCAAACTCGGAAATCACTTCTTCAAAATTTATATTTTGTGTTGATTCGTGTTCTATTGTTAATTAATATGTCAAGATTGTTAAGTCTCACTTGGGTAATTGTTGCCCGCAAGAAATTTTTAACTAATTTTAGTTTGCTGAAACTCCTCTCACACGAAGCAACTGATACGTAAATTGTCAGAAATAACTTTAATGCGACCATAAGATTCGGAAGAGATTCTGTAAAATTAAATTATTTAATATAGATAACTTGGTTAAAATGGCTTCAAGCCTAAGCGATTTATCGTTGAAAAACATTGTGATGGTTTGCCATCCCTAAACGGGTGGCACCCTGTGAGGTCCCCCTAGCTACGCCACTGATTGGGACTTTGAAGTCGGAAACAGAAAATTTTGTTTCCTTTTAATGAAGAAAATGAAATTTTCGTTATAATTTCTGCCAGTAAGGCGGCGTTTCTCAGCCCAAGGACCTTTAAAATGTTTGAAAAAATTCTATGGATCACTAACTTATGCAGGTCTATTTTTTTGAAAAACCTATATGAATATTACCAACATTTGGAACATACTATGCCATTTATCTATACTAAGTTAATATAAAGAGGTAAAGTTTACAAGTTTGGATGTAGGAGATAATCTCCGAAACTACTCATCCGATTTCAAAAATTCTTTCATCAATATTTACAATGGACCTTCAGGGTGGACATAAGCTGTATATTATTCCGTTAAACATTCAAATGAATTAAAAGATATCATCTAGGTAAGCATCATATTTTTGGTGTCAGCGGGTGGCGAGGGGCAAGACGCGTACGTATACGAGATAGGTAACCGCGCGGCGCAGTCGCGTGGTCGGCGAGATACGCAGTGCACGTGTTCGAACTTGTATATTATATAGATGTCGAAATTCCCTCCGCGGAGGAGAGGGACAAAATTAAGGCTTACCGTGAAGAACTCGGCTTCTATTATACTATTTTAGATGCGGTTATTTGCGTTTTTAATTGCGTTTTAATAGCGTACGTCAAGAGAATGTACACTAAGAAGGAATTTTTCGAAATTCTCTCCCGCGGGGAGTGTTATACATTTATAATAGATACATTTTGAGCCACAACAACGCGTGGCAGAGTACAGCTAGTAACATAATAAAGTTAAAAGCATACTTTGAATACATATGGAAACGTAATCAATTAAATTGAAAGTAAACTATTAAAAGTGAATCACCATTGAACAAAGTTTTAATCTTTATTAATTTAAGTCTGCCTTGTTCAATCATTGGAGACCACAGGTGAGTTTGGAAACTATGCTCTCATTATTCTATATGTAAACAACTAGCGACATCTAATGATATAAATATAAATAAGATCAATTTAATTTGGAAAATAGTTTTATTTAAAGAAATAAAAGCATTGCTAAAATATAATTAGATATTATATGTTGAGTTACTAACTGTTTTGGTAACTTTGGTCATTTTAAATGTCCAATATTCTTTAACAATAATTATATTGTAATCTTGTGATAGTTACAATATTAATATATCTTTAAATTAATGTAGTATAGTATTTAACCATTACTTTCTTGCCACTATAAATGTACCGATTAGATGGTCTTGGTGATTAATAGAAACTCATTCCTTATTTAATATTAATAGATTTGGAAGCCACATCATTTATTAGATGTTGACTTGAATTTCCGTTTGAGTTTTGATTTTGTGATTTTGCTTTTTCCAAAGAAGTTAGGTAAAATGTACTGTACCGTCGGTTCACTTTTAGATTAAATAAGGAAATTTTAATTATAATAGACCAGTGCAGTGAAATATTCTGGAAAATATAAGGGCATAAATATGACAGTTATGGGTGTTCCACTGAAGTAAAAATGTACGGAACTCTCCAAATGAGCTTCAACAAACAATACTGTATTCTTTATTTTTCAAAACGATTCGATTATCGATGATACAGTAATTTTCAGGATACCTAGAAGAGAATACGAAATAAAATGCCAAATTTAAAAATTAAATTAAATTCTTGAATGAGAACGGTGAAACGAGTATATACCGTGTTTCGAAAATAAGACATCCGCAGAAAATAAGACCTAGCACAGATTTTGCTGAATTGCGAAATATAAGACCTCCCTCTGAAAGTAAGACCTAGCGAAGTTTATTTTTAGTCGTAACGGTCATCGACAGATGGTTGAAAGTGGCCGTTGGCTTTTTGA